CTTGTTTTCGTTTTCGGATTGCTAGACCTGACCCACAAGTGTGATACTTCTTTTTCAAATTAAATTAAATCAGATTTCTCAATTTTTAAATAACAATGTTCATCACTCATCGTATCTCAAAATAAAATCAAAATATGTCAACAAATTTATACAACAGTAAATGTTTACAGTACCGGAAGGCATTGAGAGAAACGCTCTGAACCATCGCATACCTTCATGCCCCTTCAGACCACAGACAGACGGACATCTGTACGACTTGCCACAGTTTATGGTTACTAAGTTCATAAAATTAAACAAGACTTTTATAAACAGTTTTTATGTTATAGAAATAAAAACGCAAAGTATTACACAATGCTTTATTACTTTCAAATAAATAAATGTCCAATGAGTGGCTTAATATCAAAGAATGACATCAATAATTTTTAAAGTATCGAGAAAAGCCAATTTTCTTTAACATTGCTTCAATTTAAACCGATTCAAATGATTTTCTTTCATTATTCTACTTGAAAATTCTTAAATAAAATCATCAGAAATAGTTTGAGTTGAGCCTAAAAAACAAAAATTGACTTTTTCTCCTATTTCTGAAAATGACAGATATCCATTTTTGACATGAAGCCACTTAAATATTAAACTACTTCGAGTGTCACTGTACAAGTCACACTTCGAGGGTGTTCGCTAATATTGGCATGCATAAATTGTTTTTTTCCATTTATTGTTAAGATATATAGACAATAATCTTCAATTTTTATTTATATTTATTTTTGTGACTTGTATGCGTCCATACAGACATGAGTATGGGTTATCTGGTAGTGCGTGCCGAATGGAATCTGAACCAATATCATTGAACACTTTTACGATTGTATTCTTTGAGCCTATTCATTAAATTTATTCTCAAATATACCGAAAAATATATTTTATTGAAAAAAAATCAATGAGTTATTACATAGATTGCAACTAATTTGGCTACTGTTTGACAAGCAGTCATTGCTCCACCTTCGAAAAACATGAGAATAAGTACAACTCAATTATATCACTAATGAGTAAATAATTAATTAATGATTAATGTAGAGAGAAGAGTAAATTAATCATTACTTAGTATCGTGTGTTGAGAGTGATCACTGTTTATTTTTTGCCACATGTAATTACACGTCTCTTGTAATGATAGTTTCGCATGTAACTCCCAACCAAAGGATTCTTATCATTTAATAGAATTTTATTTCTATTATCTACCTCACACTCATGATGGTTTCATTTCTCCTGACCTATATCTTGCAACCCTCCAAGCGTATTTAATGAGTTTTTTTTTCCCCTTTTGTATTGTGTGACGATGACAGATCGACATGAGAAAAGAAAAGAGATAAATATACCCTCCCAAAATAATAACCTATGAATAAGTGAATAAATTATGCAAGAAATGGATTGTTGAAGATGAAATTAATTAATTACCTTGTATATGCTGACGAAGAAAGATATTAAATAGTTTGAGATATGAAATAGTCGGATAATTTATTTATAAGAATTTCCTGCCGAATTCTGAGGTCCCCCTAATAGCTTCCTTCCCCTCCTCCCCCCCCAAAAAAACTAAGGTGAGTGCTTTAAACCACGCGATAGAAGTCAACAAGGCGAGATTAATAATATGAAATATAAATTATAAATAATAGCTCATTATAAAGAGAACGAAATGCTGAACATTTCCCTCGCTTACAGAATGCATGTCCGAATTTTAGTTTCTGAGATATTTTAATCCATATCTTCAACAAAACTAGTTATAATTTGAGTTTTTGCACTAGTTTTTCCTGTTCACTACTCTAACACGGCGTCGCGTTAAGATACAATTTTGAATAATAGCCCAGTACAGAGAGGATAAAATGGTGAGCATTTCTCTCACTTACTGCAGGTACAATTTTTAGTTTTCGAGTTATTATTACCCATATGCAGAAACACTTCAATTGGTCGACTCCCGCCGAATTTACCACAGCGTTACATATCGGAATCTGACGGCTCAATCTAATTCACTCCCGACAAAACGCGCCTAAAAAGAAAGTTTTTAATTCAAAAATACTTCCGAATCCGCCACTGCTGTGTGACAGTGAGAATCTAAAATTAAGTTTTTCAGTTCCGGAGAATCAAAAGAAACCTTGGCTATTGTCTCTAACGTTCAGGTCTGTTGGTTAGGAAAGATAAAATGGATTCCACGAGAGAATTAAGTGATTTTGAGTGGAAGATGGAAATGCGATGTAATTCTCGTGTATGTAACAGTTGGAAGGTTCAGATTTTTGTGAATGGTGAGATTTTGAAGAAGATGCATTAATAATTTTTCAAGGAAATAAGCATTGCGTGGTTTGAGTTTTGTAAATGTCGACGCCTTTCATACGTTCAGGCGGATTCCAATATCTATTATAAATACGTCGCTTATTTCGTAGGTTAAAAAAAAATCCTTTTAATGATTAGATTGATATTTAAATACAATAATAAATGCAAAATCATCAATGCACTCTACTTCATTACAAATAAAATCATCCATAATGGCCTTAATGTTCCTTATGTTTCAGATCTGGCCCAATCCAGATACCTATCCTTCCATAATAAACTTCAGAATCACCCAAACCCTCTCGTTTCTATCCTTGCTTCCTCTTCAATTCCTGATAACCCTCCGAGGCTTCTGAAACGAAGATGGCCCCGTGATCTCCTAATGTAGACATATCATTAGAGTGCTACCATTGGGTAGTTTCTCAACAAATGTTTTTACGTCATTATATACACACGCTCAAATTTACTAAATGTATTTCTTTAACAAAGTTGTAAATGTGTGACAATTAAAAATAGGAACAGTGAATTAAAAAAAATGCGCTGCTGTCTTAATTTTACTGGAGTTATTGATAATATTAAATTGTGGAAAAATCATTGTTTTGTCGAAAAAATATATTTTGGAAGTCTTGAGGAATTTAGATAAATTAAGGTATATTGAATAAACTGAAATAAACCTTAGATTGCAATTGTTTTTTGTTTTTTTTTCGGTTCGCGCCATTTCGAGAGCTAAGAGAAAGATGAGGAATTTCAAATAGTAAACCGTTAAAAAGGAAAGTAGTCAAACATATTTTTAAAAAGTGATAAATAAACTATCAGAAAGCAATTGCAAAGAAATAAAGAAGGATCCTGTTGTTATCCCTGTCGTAATAAAGTTGTGTTGAAAAACCGCAAGAAGTGAAATACTGTTTGCAATATGTAAAGGAGGAGGCTGTGTGTCCGAAGTTATCCTCATTTCTCATATATCATTGTAGGTTCCTCTACCTGCTACCTGCCCTTTTCTAATGGAATCCCTGGTTCGCGAACCTCTCAGAGATCCAAGATACTTTTGAAACCATCAAATATATCATTCAAAACTAAAATGGTGGTGAGAATAGTGATAGGCGCTTCCAACTTCTTGTGTTAAGTATAATTTATATCACTTTTCTTTTGTTTTGTTTTCTATACTTTTTTATGGTGAAGTATGAATCAGGTATTTACTTGAAAATTATTACAAAAAAAAAATTAATTAATTTTATTTGGCTTTTTTTTTTGTTGTTGCTCAAATAATGAATCAACAACCGTACTTCCTTTGGCCTACTAAGCTGAGAAAATTAAAACCATAACCAAATATTGAAATAATATATTTTTTTTTACTTCCACTTACCTATAATTGAAATATTTAGTAAGAGGCAGTATTGCGATCGTGAAAATTTTCAAATCTGAGTTTTCAACGGAAATGCATGTTTTGAGGTCTCTTGAGTCCAAATAAACAAGTCCCTCAAAGTGGTGTATGTGACGAGTAGTATTGCCCAAATGCGAGAACGAGGCGAGTCTTGGTCTTGCAAACTCAGTCTCGTAAGAGTATCGCAACAGTCATGTAGTTACTTATTAGCTTATTACTATAGAGATATTACTGTAATTTTTTAGATTGGAGAAATCTAATTAAGCCCAAATGAAAACTTACAGGAGTTAAATGCAAAAGTATAATTGTTATACCAATTATTTATATATAGGAACTAAGATTGTCAAGTATTAGTAACTATTTTGCCTTTATTTTTATTCAAAAAATCGATTTTTTTTACTAGTCCTGGTCTTGGTCTGCAACAGTTAGGCGGCCTTGGTATTGGTCTTGCAGGTGCCAGGACCAAGACCGATTTTGGGCAACACTGCTGACGAATCTAGCTCAATAACGAAAAGTCGTATGAAAGTGAAATTGAACATTTAAGGTATGTGTTTACTTCAGATGTAACAGGAACTTTTCGTCGATATTGGCTAACTGGAAGTGGCACTTTATATCATCAATAAAACACATTTTTACGATTTACTCGAAAATGGCTTAAACGATTTTGATCAAACTCGGTATATCAGTGTGTAGGCATTATTCTCATTGATGTCCTCTAACAGGGGTTAACGGCTAATTTTCAATATTAGCTTTCTCTAAAGTACCTTTAATTTTTTGTTTTATTTGAAACAATTAACCATTTCACATTGATTTCTAATAACAGAGAACAGAGAATAGTTTAATGAAGGGACCAAAGGGATACGAGAGCGAGCACCCGAAGATTAGAACAGGCTTCCATAGTAATATATAATACGGACTCCGACAATATTATGTACACATGCGGTTTTCCTAAATGTTTTTTTTGGTATTATTTAATATTTAATTGTATAGATTACAGCAAAAAATTTTAAAATTTGTATACATGAGGGTACTTAAACAAATAAAAATATCTACAATGAAAAATGAATCAAAGCGTTTATAATTTTTACTTTCCCTTCCACTTTGTCTGGAAATACTTATTTAGGCTAAAAAAAACGGTGATAAGTGAAAGTTGTATGATGCACACACCGCATCAGATTTTTTATCACCATGTATTAATCCGCATATATTAATAGTATTATTGATTGGAAAGTTTGAACTTTTTGTTTAAGTAAATATAGGTATATATTTAGTTTCTGTCTCAGTTCTAGCTCTTAAGATTTGGAAGAAAATGATTTTAACATGTCGGCTCCATATGACCCTAGTGTCAAAGGTAAGTCCAAGATAGTGTACGGTGTTTATCTGAAGAATTTGATTATTTTCTATATAAATTAGAGAGCAGGTATTTCTTCGAAGAATAAATGTATCGTGCTTCGATTAATCGTGGCTTTGTTGAATTTTTCATTATTCGTACTTGTAATTTATCTAAGTGATACATAGTCACAACATCGTATTATTTATTAGCTGCCTTACCATAATGAACTTATATTTATTGTTTTGTTTGTAATTATCTATAAATGTAACAATGACACATTCATTGCTACATATGCTGACGACATATTAGATAATATGATGTATTTAATCTCTATATAACATAAAAAAGTTTTTAGTGACTTTCATATTTTATTTTATTTTATTATTAGGAGAGTAGTAGATCACAGTAGTTCGACAGCAGTCTTCTAGGCTCGATAGTGCTTCTAGTCTCCTAAAGCGATTATTTTACAAATTATACAGCTGGTCATTTAATTACATATGCGTTAAAGTCCAGTTACATTCTACTCTCCTAATACAAAAAAATATTATAAACAAAAGGCTCAAATTATTGTTGGGTTTATATGAGACTGGACAAGTTATGTATAGGTTATGGTTACAAATTGGCTTTAAGGCGCGATGTAAAATATAGATTTTTAAAGAATTTAAAACTGTCCTAACTGTGGTTTCGTTCAGTTTATTTTATTAAGATAAAAATTACTACAAGACAGAATACATGTAAAAGTTATACAATTTGAGTAACAAGTAGTACAATTAAATGAGTAGTTGTATAATTTGTAAGATGGGGGTAGGTCCGCCGTTAGGAGGACTGGAGGTACCCTCCTTGTAATTATTAAAGATAAATTTATCTTTTAATTTTTTATTCAGAGATTTATTGATTAATATTACATTTTATCACAACTAAAGACTTTAGTAATAGTTATACAGGAGTTCATGCTCATAATAAATTAATATAAAGCAAAGATAATATAATAAATATATATAAACAAAAAGAAACTCGAAGTAATAAAAAAAAGAGAACATAAATTCAGCTATACATATAAACAAATTTTTAATGTTTAAATTAATAATTTAATAACAATTTTAACAAAACACCATAACCCCAGACTAGACTCAATAAATTTACAAAATCATTTACTGACTTTACAAAATTGCTACTCACTTTGGAAAATAAGATTAAACCATGACAAGTCACAGCATATAACACGCACTTACACTTCGACACTTTACACTTCGACGAGAAACGTGCCCACCAGTTTATATAGGAGAGAACCAAATTCCTGAGACAAACACAGTACGTTACCTAGGACTAAAATTCGACAGAAGGATGACCTGGAGCCCACCCGTCAAAATGAAACGACAGACCTTAAACAAGCGACTGAAAATACAGTACTCACTCTTTTCTAAATCGAAATTGAAAGTTCGACAAAAACTAAATACATACACTTACCTACTCAAATCCATCTGGCCATACGCCTCTCAGATTTACGGTTCGGCAAAAAAGACGCACTTACAAAGACTACAATCATTTCAATCCAAAATTTTACGACTTATAACAGGAGCTCTCTGATACGTCAACAACAAAACTTTACATAACGACTTACGACAACCAACTATAGACCAACTCATACGTACTCTCTCCTCTCGTTTTCATCTCAAACTACACGGACACACAAACAGATTTATAACCGACATGGCTACAACTGACATGCCTATTAGGAGGAGATTAAAAAGGAGCTGGATGAGAGATCTCCTCACCTAGATCAAAAAAATAAATAATGACCTGGAAGAGGTGCTGCTGGGTACTATCCTTCCTCATGCCTTTTAATGCCTATCCTCATCATCAGAACACATCTGCTGGTTGTCAACACCATGACAGGTGCGGATAAATAATTAAAAAGATAAAAAAAACAATTTAATAATTAAATTTCCTAGAAAGTTGTTAACTCAATAAGTGATAAAAAATAAAAATCAGTTCATTGTGGTAAGACAGCTATCAAATAATCAGATGTTGTTGTAAAATATCCATAAATAATTGGAGCAATCCAATTTTGCTGTAATAGAAGTTGCCCGAGGAGGCGCTGCGCGTAGATGCTGGAGAAACCGCTGACTCCAGCAACACTATTGTTTCCCTCCTCTGAATTGTCCGTCCGTTTCTCATCCCTTCACTTGCCTTTGAACAGTAATTGCCAGTAAATTTTTACTGTCCTATTGTGTTCCGTCGGCGAAATTACTGGCGAGAAAATTCCTGTTAAAATCACACGAAATATATTCCTTGCACAGCTCTGATTATTTTGATGTGAAAGTGCTGACGTCGGCTTGTTCATACTTGGCCAGGTCTCGAACAATGGGTGTCTAGATTATTGAGAGTTTTTTCGGGCAATGTGCGCAAAATTAGTTTATTAGTTTAGTAAAGAGAAAACTGTCTTTCTACGGCGTTTCGCTACTTCTTCAGAACTACACCTACTAACCTGGTTTCGAAACTTTTTAAAATAGGTAAAAATTAAATAAATGAACATAGTTTAAAAATAAAGATACAAAAATATCAATTATCATTACAAAACGCTGCAAATCGTTACACAATTGTTTATTATTTCCAAATATTCATACATCAAATATGAATGATATTTCACAATAGTTTCACTACTTCACTAATAAAAATCATACCTGGTTCCATAGATGTAAAGTTTTAAAGCCAAACAATAAGGAAAATCTGCATTAAAACATATCGGCCGTTTATTGCAAAAAGTCATCAACTGCATTTTTGAAATAGGTTTTTTTATTTATTCATGATATTTACACTGTATTAAAAAATATACATACATCTAGTAAATGTGCACTCAGGAATATAATAACATGAAAACGCTTGGTGAGAAATTACCCAGTGGTAGCACTCCATGATATAGGTTAACTTTCAAATATGTTTTTGTTAATCTTGGCCTTATTTATCTTTGGCTAGCTATATAGATTACTGAACAGAAACTCACATCTTTCAATTGAAAATAAACTACTAATATACAAAACCATACTAAAACCCATCTGGACCTATGGACTTGAACTGTGGAGGATAGTTAAATCTTCGAACATCAAATGCATCCAATCCTTTCAATCCACAGTCCTTCGAACAATAGTCAATGCTCTATACTACGTCACAAATAAAACTCTACATGATGATCTCAACATCCCATTTGTCCTTGACCTAATACCATCCAGATTCCCAAACATCCATAAAAAACATACCATCATCCTAATCGCTTAGCACAATCCCTCTCAAGCTGCAACCATCCGTATAATCCCCACGAAGGTTGAAACGGAAATGGCCCCGAGACCTTTTATAAAAACGCTATTGGAGTTCTGGCAGTGTATGTGGCTTTAGCGTTCTCACTCAGCCTCCACTGACTTTCAAACAGTCATCCGACTAGGAGAGAAGCGCTGAGATCTCTTTGAACCCTGATTTGCCTATCACATGAGAGCGGAAAGCATGGTTCAGGTTTCCTAGGCTGAATGTAAATATTGTATATAGGAATGAGTGAGACAAGTAATTTTTTTTTCTTTTTATTATCCTTTTGATGTATTTTTTTTTCTTTTTACAAGTATCTTATATTTTTGTTATTATTTTATTGTAAATATTTTTTACTTAGATGTTTTATTTTTCTCAATTTGTATATAATAGTATGAATGTACACATATAGCCTTAATGCCCAATGCCCTTGATTGTGGCAGATTGTGTTATTATTCCAATAAAAAGATTATAAAAACCTTGGCCTTATTTATCTAGATAAAAACACTGTAAGACAGACCCTTTTCTTAATCATATATAGCTACAATACTTGCACAATTTTCTGATTAAAAAAGGTAAAATTCGCCAAAGTTCTTAATTATTTGACGTTATGAAATGTTGCTTAATGAATTTTTGCAATAATACATAAAGGTCGGAACTCCGTCACATCTCCGGACAAAGTAGTTCGATATCGTTGATTTGTTTATGTTTTAGGTAATTTTTTCTCTTTTAAATACGAAATGCATAATCAAGAAAACGGGTACACTTTAGAAGCAGTAAGTAATAGTAATTCTCATATACAATTCAGCATTCACCATAACTTTTTTCCAGCTTCTTTTGTGAGAATTATAGTTATATAAATTTACTATAATGTATAATATATAAATTTACAGAGCTTCAAGGAGAGGATTTTAGGCACTTATCGTCTTTATTAAAATCCTCCACTGCTTCAGAACATGGAAGAGAAGAAAACATTCACCAAAACATCAGGCACTACCTCACGATATGAAGCCAAGAAGGAGACATTGTCAATTCATACGACGTTCTCTACGCAACCATGAATGCTGACAAAAGACCACGTGGAAGACCTAACCCAGCAAGAAGTAACAATCACGAGGACCAGTTACACACTTTATAGAGCCTGACTGTAGCACAGTAGGTTTTTTTCCGAGCCCAGAATCGATTTACACTTGAAATAACTAAATAATTATCTGTTACAGCCGGCTTCGAACCCGGAAGCAATAGTGAAACAAAAGAGAGTGAAACCTGCTTTTACCTTCACAGATGAAGAGAGGGACAGATCTGATTTTGACTTCTCGTAGCTGATTGAATATAGGTGTATCTTGTTATTTTACTTTAGTAATCTTTATGCTTATTTTTTTTTTATCTGTCTAACTTAGCGCTTTATAGACAAACGCTATAAGCTTGGATTTAATTACAAAAGACTCATATACATGACTACAATAAGGCCTATCTGGACTTCTGGAGTTGAGCTATGGGGCTCCACTAAACCGTCAAATTCCTCTCATATTCTTACAATCCAAATTCCTTCGTAAAATCCTCAAGGCTACTTTGTTATAAATAAAATCATAAATAATGGCCTTAATGTTCCTTATGTTTCAGTATAGTCCAATCCAGATATCTATCCTTATATAATAAAATTCAGAATAATCACAACCCTCTCGTTTCTAGCCTTGTTTCCAATTCAATTCCTGATAACCCTCCGAGGCGTCTGAAAACAAGATGGCTCCGTGATCTCCTAATGTAGACATATTATTAGAGTGCTAACAGCGAGTAGTTTCTCAACAAGTGTTTTTATGTCATTATATCCATTTGTACTAGATCTATTTTTTTAATACAGTCGTATATATCTAGTCGTTTACATTATATTAATACAGTCGTTTTTACATTATATTTAGTTATTATTTTGCTTTTATTTATTTATTTTTTATTTCTATATGTGATTATGGTGTGAATGAATTATTTTCACATTATAAATATTGTCGTTATTGTGATTGAATGGTATATTACTGAATAAAATAGCTTCAACCATAAAAAAAAATTCCATAAATTAATGTTATCTTAAAGAGATTTATAGATTTTATATCAACAGTCCTACTATTTGACTCAAGTTAAATTATTATAATCATGGCAACTCAAAAGGTCTTTTTTTTTTCATAAGTCAATTCAGGCCTAATTTCTTTTTGGAGGAGCAGTCGACCATGTTTGTGTTCGAGCCGATAAGACAAGTTTGAATCGGTCTAGTAAGAGTTTTTCATTTTATTTTCTTCATACTTCCTTTCTTTTTGGGTGGAATAACTAAGTAAACTGTAATTAATCGTACTTCCTCCGTTGATGGAGAACATAAGGAGGTTATATATACTGATAATTAAATTTCTGGTACTAAAAGTTACTTCAAAATTTAGAAAAAGAGAACTAAATAATGAAAATATGTGGTAACTTGATCATTTTCCAGTAGATGATATTTTTCCGGACAACTTTTAACAGGAATGAACGTTGTTTCTAACAACCCATATAAACCCAACCCGCCATTACTGAACATTATGTTCGGTGTAGATTGCAGCTGACGTGCCAGTGAACCCATCGTGCTTCAACAGTAATCTAGACATTTTCCTTCAGGCGAATCATCGATTATGTTCTGTTGAACAGTTCAATTTCTTATTCTTGGTTGCTAAGGGTAAACATAAACTTAGGAACAAAGAGCTACAAAATTTAATAAATGTCAACTAATTTAGTAATATATTCAAATACACTTGAGTGGTTCAAAGTAGCGCCTTACTAGAGAAAATTAATTAAAATTAACGTTTACAAACTTATGTTCGGAGTGATGGACACAAAAGACGATCTTTTCAACTCAATATACGCCGCTTCGTTCAAAAATAGCAGTTGAAAAACGGATTTCTTTTAAATTTAGCCCATAAATGGCTACAACGATGATTATGAAACATGCCTAAAGTATTCCCCTTGAAGCATTAAACATTGAAGTACATAATATACTTCCCCAAAAAGAAGCTGGAAAAAAATATACGAGAAATATAGAATTTTATTTGTGAATAAATTGGCAATTGCACAAATAAGTATAATCAATAAATATGGTTATTTGATAGATAATGAAATTATTCAAAAAAAGAAAAAAAAATTGAAATTATTCTGCAAAGATATGGCGTTTTAAATTTTTTTCAGAAGTCGATATAGTGTTATTTAAAGGATAAGTTTATTTTCTAATTTAAAAAAAAAAAAAAAAAAAAGACCTTAAGAATATAATTTTTGTGTTATTTTTTGCTGAAAAGCTGTAAGAACATTAGTGTTACATAAATCTCTACGCTAGATATATTTGATATGTATTTAGAAATGATAAAACCTTTGTTATAAATTGCAGCATTTTAATGTATATTCAGAAGTTTAAGTATTTTAGGATTGAGTTTCAAGAATAGGGAAAATGGAAAATTAGAAAGATATAAATTTATGTTTATGCACAGATGGAATTTAGAAAAACAGTGTTAATGATCTTGAACTAATGTTAAAGGTGGTGACGCAAGCGGGAGTATTAAATTGAATTCGTTCTTGTCAATCAATAGAAATGATATATCTATTACGTCTTTGGATGTAACACCTAACCTTTCAGATTATTAAAGGTTTATTTTTTTATTTTATTCTTTTAGAGAAGTCTAGTAGAGGTGAAGTGTAAGGAGAATTTAGTAAACTTATATTAATAACATTTAGAGACAATGGGTAGGTTTCTAAACTCAGCGCTAACTCTATTGAAGAAATCCATCAATCGTTTAAATTTAGCATCGATAGAGAGCGATCCAGGCTGAGTTTAGGAACGCAAGAAAAAAAATATATTACGAAATATTTAACTATTGAATAGCTGAATTCAAAAACATTATATTTATAAATAGGAAATAAAATGAATACAAATAACAATAACAAATCTGAGGTTATAATGAGGTTACATCCAGAGACCACAAAAGCTGATGTGACAGCTGAACCAATACCTACTCAATCGTTCGAAAAGAACGATCTGATGGATTATCGATTTCCATTAATGAGTTCAGTCATTTACCATACCACACTAATATTGGTAACAAGACAACTTTTGATTTGTATTAATTAAATTATTGTCAGAATTCATGGAATTAAATAAAACAGTGAATTATATTAGCTATTTTATTTTAATACTAGACTCGATATCGAAAAAAAGGACAAGGTATACACATCGATGGTATATATATCGACATTCATATACATCGAGGCCTTTGAATCAACATAAACTTGTCAACGAAAGCTCCACACCTTTGTTAAATCCTGGAACACTGGACAAACCAGGACAGTTCTAACATCAAACCCAATTTTTTAGCTTACTATATACCTTTGAAATAATAAAAGGCATTTATAACCAAAATTAAATAATATTTAAACATCCATTATACTTTTGAGATAGATTTTCGTTGAGTGTTTTGAAGTTAATATTGGATGATAAATAATTATGAGTTTCAGTCATATGTTTAATATGGTTACCAACGTTTCGATTCCAGCTTATTTATCAATAAAGATGTAGCATGAGTATTGTTTCGCCCCCTCCCCATCCTTTTTCCTCAATAATATGAAGTAAAAAATTGAATTAAATTAATAATAAATAACCTACATGAATGAATAAAATATGTAAACTAAAATCAATGAAGAAAATAGGAAAAGTTGACGAGCTGACCTCGAAATAACTTTGTAACTATTTCATCACCAACTAAATATTACTATTATTTAAATTTTAATTTATATTCAAATTTAACAATAAATACCAACATATCCTAGGATTTTATTATTCATTCAGCCCTCATGTGCAACCCTCTATTTATACTTATCACATTTTCTCCAGAAAAGGTGAAAAAATATATGTAATAAGTATAAGTATATAATTATAAATATGTTTTATAGAATGAATTTAGAATTTTATAGAATGAATAGAATTTATAATAAAACAGTTCTAGAAGTGTAATATAATGTAAAAAAATAAGTAATATATTTACTGGTTTTGTTCAGATTTTTTCAAGTATATGCATACAAAAAAAAAAAAAAAATCAACAACGGAACAAACATATATATATATATATATATATATATATATATAAGTTTATTTTTAAATATACAGTATCTTATTTTTTCGTTTTACAATAATTGAATTTTTAAACATAGTACAAACTTCCACTACTTTTTATATATATATTTAAAAATCAATTCATAAATAAATTTGAGACAGTGATAGCATTTCAACAGACAAAGATATCGTATGTTGAGAGTAAAGTCACTCAATAACAGTAAAAATCCAGAAACAATCCAATAAAGCCCGGCGATGAAAAATTTACTACAAGAGTTGTAAAACTGCAACGACCTTTTATATCAATCGGGGCTGCAAACAGAATGATAAGGCAAAATACAGAGGTATTTTTATCTGTCTGAATACATTTTTATCAATGTCGTAGAACCTTTCTAGCCTTCTATACTAGAGGATAACTTAAATTTTAATATAAAAAAAAGTTTTAGAAAAGAGACAAGAACATAAATACATATCTATGCAGCAAATGAAATATAATCACCAATATACCGAAAGAGGTTACACGATTGACGTATTCCCCGAGTTTCAGAATGTAGTTAAAAAAATTAAATCAAACATAGACTAAGTTTACCACTAGTGTTGCCCAAAATCGGTCTTGGTCTTGCACTTTGCAAGATCAAGACTAAGACCGCCTCACTGTTGCAAGACCAAGATCAAGACAGGTAGAAAAAAAAAACGAGTTTTAAATAAAAATTAAGGCAAAATAGTTACTAATGCTTGACAATTTTAGATACTATATGTAAAGAATTGGTATAACCAATATATTTTTGCATTTAACTCTTCTTATTTTTCATTCGGGCTTAGTTAGGTTTCTCTTATCTAAAAAACTACATTAATTTCTTTATAGTAATAAGCTAATAAGTAACTAATAATAAGACCGTTGTGAGAATCTTGCACAAGACCAAGACCTAGACTAAGACTGAATTTGCAAGAACAAGACTCGTCTCGGTCTCGCATTTGGGCAACACTATTTACCACACACAAACATGTTTCAAAAGTGTTGAATTACTTCAAGTAGTTAGTTTCGGCAGGAGTCTTTAAAATTGATCAACTTTACTCTATTTCTATCCGAAATCTAAATCCTAAAATCTTTTTTTTTAAATATTTTTAATGACACGTTTTTCTGTTAAAATATACCGATGAATGCTTCCAATTGTTGAACAAGGAACTTATATGAATAGGTGAAGT